TAATAAATTTTAATACATAATAATAATTTACATACATGTATAATATATATATATATATATATATATATATATATATATATATATATATATATATATATATATATATATATATATATATATATATATGTATATAACATACAGCAATTCATAATAATAATAGTAATAATAATAATAATAATAATGATAATAATAATAATAATGATAATAATAATAATAATAATATGTACATAAAATATTATCATATCATTTATAAAAAAGAAATCTACAACAGTAATGAAAAAAATTTAATATAAAATAACAATTTATAGCAATCTGTAGATACATACAGCAAATGGTAGTTTTATTCAGATCTACTTTTAGAGATAATATATAGATATACATTAAAATTTGTATAAATATTAATTATTAATGCTGTATAATTATTTAGTTGTAATCGTAGTAGTAGTAATATTAATAATACAAAGTTAATAATAATTATTACTACTACTAATAATAACAACAACAACAACAATAATAAATTACAATATTATATATGAAATGCATGTAATAAATGACATTTATTACAGCAAATTAATATAATTAACAATAAATAATCATAATAATAATATTTACATAAAATATTATTTATTATATTATTGATAAAAATATAAAATAAATCTACAACAAAAACAAAATAAATTTAATATGAAATAACAATTAAATGCAATTTGTAGATAAATACCGCAAATGGTAGTTTTATTTATATCTATTTTTTATAGATAATATATAGATACACATTAAAATTTGTATGAATATTAATTATTAATGCCATATATTAATTTAGTTGTAATAGTAGTAATAGTAATAATAATGATAATGATAAAATGATAATAATTTAATAACAATTACTACTAATATTAATACTACTGCTACTACTACTACTACTACTAATAATAATAATATATTATAATATTTATGAGATGCATGTAATAAATCTAATTTATATACATGTATAGTACAAATAACATACAACAAATGATTGTAATTAACAATAAATAATAATAATAATAATTTGTACATAAAATATTATTATTTATATTATTTATAATATTCTAATATAAATCTACAACAGTAATAAAATAAATTAAATATAAAAAACAATTATAGTAATTTGTAGATACATATAGCAAATGGTAGTTTTATTCATATCTAATATTTTTAGAGATGATATATAGATACACAGTAAAATGTGGGTAAATATTAATTATTAATGCCATAAATATATTTAGTTGTAATAGTAGTAGTAGTAATAATTACAAAAAGGTAATAAGTTAATATAAAAATTACTTCTACTAGTACTAATAATAACATAGTTATAGATTGTTGCATTATGTCATTGGAAAATATAAGTACCTGAGTTTAACACTTCGAATGAACTGATCTTCATGTAATACCTATGTCTTTAACAGCATGTTTTGTGTCCATCCACTCCTCTATTCTCAGTCTTCACCTCTCTGTTTACTCCCTCCATCAACCGCGTCAAGGGAAAAAAATTGCATCATGCCTACAGATGAAGGCAATGAGAATGGATGGAGAAACAATGCCCTAATAAAACACTGTCTTAGCGGAGTGAAGCCACAGCTTGTATTTTTATAGTGTTGTCTTACGGTCACCTTGAGGAAAGAGAGAAAGCCGCTCAAACTGGCAGTATCGTGTGTTTGTTTTGCTTCTGTTCTCCGTCACAGTGATTCTTCTTGTCTGTGTGCGGCGTCTGGGTTTCAGTAATGGATCAGTAATTGCCAGACGGGCTTGTTTAATAGTGGGTATCATCACCGTTACTTTGGTTGAAACAGTTTTCTGTTGAATCGGGCAAAAAAATTATGAAAGTTATTCATTTTTTCTAATTAATTGATTGCATTAAGAATTGCTGTAATTTTTTTAATTACAAGTTTTATATTATATTATATAATATTTTTTATATATATATATATATATATATATATATATATATATATATATATATATATAATTTTTTTTTTTTTATGTAATGCTGGGCAAAAGTTAATTGTGATTAATCGTCTCCACAATCAAAGTTAGTTTTGACAATGTATGTTTGTGTGCTGTTTTATTTATATATATATATATATAAATACACACATTCATGCATATAAATACACACATTCAAGCTTCACATCTTAACATTGACAGGTGCATATTTTTGTGTTCAGAGTCCGCCTTAACTTTTACACCGCACCACCAAAATCCTCCTTAAGAGAAAGACAGAAAGCTGATCTCAGCCCTGCAAAACGCATGAGTTCCTCTCAGCCCTTCAAGCCCCTGGTCTTGTGGGTGGAGAGAGGACAGGCATAGTGATGTTGTGATTCATCACCACCACTAAAAGTTTGATTATTTTCAGTCACGCTGGATTTTTCCCGAATGGTGGCTGGATCCGATGTTCGCTGTGTTTGGCTTTCGTGTTCACCTGAGGCCTCAATTCAGTGGTCTACAAAACAACCCAGGAGGATTATTTATAATAAACTGTGAAACAAGATTTCATGGACCTTAGTTTAAATTACTGTGATATAAATTCAGTCATTCTTGATTTATTTTTGAAAAAATAGTTAAAGGCTATTAAAACTTAAATGCCAACTGATATTAAACACTAATAACTGTAGTGTTTTATTTCCGTGTAACATTTCTTCAAAACTTTTTTTTTCCAGAATAATGACAACTGGTAAAATATAGCAAATGTTTTCATTACTTTTTATTGGAAATCAGGATTATGAGTTGCAAAAATGTTTATAATTACAATTATCTTAACTACAAAAAAATTAATTAAACGAATTATGAATACAACTCGATACAATACTAATTAATGACATTAAAATAATAGTGACACCAAGAATGACTACTATTGTTTACAAATAATAAAAATGTTTATTATTACATTATTGTTAAGAATTTATTATTATTATTATTATTATTGTACATTATTTTTTATTAATAATAATATTCTTATACATGATTCTTCTTATTATTGTTATTATCATTATTATACATTATTATTATCATCATCATTATTATTATCATTATTATACATTATTACTATTATTATTATAAATTATTGTTATTATTATTAATAATATTCTAATCATACATTATTATTATTATTATTATTATTATACATTATTATTATTATTATTATTATTATTATTATTATATTATTTTAAAATAATATTAATGTAAAACTTGTAATGGGCCTTAATTTCCTATTATGTCTAAAGTCTAAATGGTAGCCTATTGCTGAGTAATAAAAATACATGAAAAACAATCACTGGAGTCTCTTTCAAAACATTTCTTTAGTGAACTGTAAAACATTGAAAGCCAATCAGAATCAATATTGCTTTAAAAAGTAAAAACATTTTAAAAAGCAGACAGCAAAAACTACAGCATTCATTAAAATATACAAAAATTGTACAGAAATGCATGAGGACAACAAAGTTCACACACAGATTTAATTCGGCATTACAGATTCAAAAGTTGCAATTATGAATTTGCCACCCTGACACACAGAAAAGCTGCTTGGTTTGAAAGTAACTTTTCTCTGAGCTGTTCTTCAGACAGTAAGACAGAGTGCTTTTTTTAAATGCAGGATTTCACAGAAATTGTGTGCAAATGTAACTTCATAATCTTAGTTATCATTGTTATTGATAATAATAGGCCTACCTTTCTAATACAAATTATGCCTACTAAACATTGACTTATGTTGACTTATGATGACCAGGCTTCGGCTATTTACAAAACACTGACATTAGCTTGAACGGACTAAGAAGTCAGTGTAATTGAATGCTAGGTAGTGCAGGGCAGGTCAACCTGAGCCTTGAGTCAGCAGCACACAGTAGTTCAGAGGTGATTTGCCTTTGGCCGCAACAGAAAAAGCAGCAGAATTAGGTCAGAATGTTCTTTGTTGTTCGTTTGAAACACCTTTCAGCGGTTTTTTCCCACTGGAGGCAAATCCAAAGCCCCATACAAACATCTCCGCCCGCTGTTCTGAGAAAGCTCAATGCCAAAGTTTTTTGATTTATCGGAAAGGCACAGTCATTTTATGTACAAAATAATATCTATCTATCTATCTATCTATCTATCTATCTATCTATCTATCTATCTATCTATCTATCTATCTATCTATCTATCTATCTATCTATCTATCTATCTATCTATCTATCTATCTATCTATCTATCTATCTATCTATCTATCTATCTATCTATCTATCTATCTATCTATCTATCTATCTGTGTCTGTCTGTCTGTCTGTCTGTCTGTCTGTCCGTCCGTCCGTCCGTCCAAAATGCAGAGGTGAAATAGATGTTCCAGTTTTGACATATATATATATATATATATATATATATATATATATATATATATATATATATATATATATATGTATGTATGTATGTATGTATATGTGACATTATATCTCACAGTGGGCTTTATTTTCTGTTTAACATGTATAAAAACCTTTTTTTTCTAAACAGAGTTCCTCAAAAAATACAAATAACACCTACTGATTGGTCATCTTGTGGTTGTGTGGGATGCCCGTATACATAAAAGATACTGTGGTTCACCAGACATCAGGTTTTTCCCCTTTGAAGTTGGTGGGGCAATTCCAAATATCACAGCAGAAGTTACTGTTACTTCAGAATGCAGAAGTTCTCCTCATTGGTGAACTCTATATGTCTATCTGTAAATCCTTACACGAGATGTTGTGAGTCGGAGGAAGGGGTTAAGAATCCTCATCCAGCCCTTTTTTCACATGCTCTGTTTATTTCTAGAGCTGTGACGCAATGAGCCCACTCCTCCGCGCACACGTCACTTCATCCAAGCGTCGTGATTGGCCGGTCGTTGTTGCTGTTGCTGTTTCTGTCGGCGGGGGCTTTACATAAGCGCAGCTCGCTTTCGTTTCGGTCTACTCTGCTGGAGGACCGTTTCGCAGGAGGGTGAAACCCACCTCTTGTGTGTTTTCGGACAAAACAACCCAAGTCACAGCACTGTACCGTCCTGGAACACGCAGTACTCTCCGTATTTTCCCAGCCTCGACAAATAAATGCTCAGCATAGGCACCAGAGAAATAAAACGCACGAAAAACAAGGACCATTTTACGAACGGAAACAAAAGCGCACTGGCCATAAAACGCTCGGAGCATCTCAATGCATACCCTCTGTGCCCGAGGAACGATGAAACCAGAGATAAACGCCGCCGTCGGGTTTCTGTCGAGATTCCTGCGGATTAAAGGACATGTGAACGACAGACAGCTCCAGACATTCAGCCAGACCCTACAGGACATCCTGGCAGGTAATTATCCACATTTATAAACGAATACGAGCTTCGTTGTATCCGCTTTCTATTTGTGTGACTTGTTTGTTTGTGAAAAGTGTGGAAAAACATCGATCTCTTTGTTTACGAGTTAATTTATGTGCTTGGCCACATAGACGGAAGCGCGCGGGCGCGTTGCGCACGAACATAAACAGCTGAAAGCTTCGACACAAACACTGAACCAAAAGAAAGAAAGACCAAACAAATCTATTTTTAACACTAACATTATATGTAGAAAATATAAATGATCTCGTAATTAATAATTTAGTTTATTAATAGCATATTTATACCGTTTATAAAACGAATGAATCGGTTTCATCGTGTGGCAAGCCGTTATTTTATTGAATCTACAAATGTAACGTATGTCGGTTTTAGAAAAAAATTATGAATTTATTATTATTACTACTCAGCCGCTATTTATTACAATACAAGTTATTTCTAAGAACTAATAGCATTTTAAATTAGAGCATAATCTGTTTTTATATCTAAGACTGGGATTCCAGTTTTTGAGTTTATTAACTCCGTATTACATGTTTATTACAAATTAATAACATTTTGTCCGCTGGTAGTCATTATCCATTAACTAGCGAGCCGTTACTGATTACAAAGTTTAGATTTGTGTCAGTTTTATTAGTTATGTTTGCAATTATTTTCTTGTTTATGTTTCTGGTATGCACCAAATTCGTAGTTATTAGTGAAATTCTTTATAACATGATTTAAAAATCGGTTATTTGGCAGTAATTTTAACAAATGTAAAATGTAACATGTTATATCTAAGCAGTAAATGTGAAAATAGCTTGCCATATGTTGTAGGCAGTAAATTACGTAATGCACAGCAAGGCTGAGTATGATATGTAGGGTTGATGTTTCATAGCACACTGGTAATAGAACATGTAGTGCACACTGTGTCCGTGTTTCATTATAATAAACATGTAAATACATTGTACCAACGATGACCGCAACAAGTTCTGGTTCAATGATAGAATTATATTTAATCTGTTTTACATTCAAATGCAAATTTTATTTAAAATAGGTTAATTATAGAGCATGTCATCAGGTTGTATGTTAGTATCAATAATCAAATATTTAATAAAGGTAAAAATGTGTAAAGAAAGAAATTATAAAGACTGCTTAGCGTTCAAATGAGTTTTTAAAGTAGTTTAAATTAAATTACAGGACTTTAATATATGTTAGCTTAAGTTATGCCATCTTAAACTCTTAATCAGGTCATCTATTTGTTTTTTCATGGTTGTATCTTTCTCATTTACATCCTTTGTTAATCTTCAAAGACAAATCAATAGACTAAAAATGTGTAGTAAAGACAATCAAACATACAATTTACCAACAAGACAAATAATATATTCGTAATATAACAAAAATTGGTAATATAGCATAATAAATAATTTAGGTTATATGCAAATACAAAGAACTCAGATGAGAAACTTTAAATGTGTAAAGATGCTAGAGATGTACACAAATATATATTATTTATTGTTATAAAAATCCTCGATTTTTAGTTTTGTCAAGGACCAGACGTTTTGTAAACAAATGGAGCTGTGGACCCAGTCAGACAAAATGGCCGTCAGTGGAGGAAGGGAAGGAAGGATGTGGGGGCCCGTTTCACATCACATATTACAGTTACAGAGGACTTCATATTGTTTAGCTTTGCTCTTTCCTTTCCTTCTCGGCTGTCTCAACCAAACATATGTCCACACAATAGAACAAAGACTCCTCATAATCCCCAACAGGCTAGAAAAAAGTGGGTTAGTTCCTTTTCCACACACTTTAAATGTGTGTGTGTGTGTGTGAGAAAAGGATTGCCAGATTGAAAACACAGGTGTTGTGTAAGATCGATCTGAAAATCTGTTTCTGCTTCCTGTTCTCTAATCACATCACTAAATACACGTTCGTCATAGCTTTGCCCTAATTCCCAGACTTACAGCAAGGCCTGTTTCACAAATAAAACATCCTAATCTTGCCACAAAGGCTATCTGGATGTTCATGTCCTATGTTTTTATGTGTAGGGTGAGCATTGTTGTGCTTTGGGCTCCGTCCAGAGTTGTGGGTGGGTTGATCCGAATTGATCATTGTCTGCTAGGCTTTTAGGAGAATGGGATGGGACATCATAGACAGCACACAGGCGGCATTATCTAACCCTGGTCTACAGGTGGCCTGCGGGGGCCTGGCCTATTTGAGAGCAGAATAAAGAGGCTTGAGACCCATCCCTCAGTCTCCTGTTTTCCACATGTCACCCAATACACAGAGCCAGAAGGGACTAAAAACGCAAATGCCAAAAAAGTCCTTTGTGTAGGGTGTAACTTGGCTCTTTAAGAGTCATGATTTTGGTTTGGTGTCACAGCTGAATATGCTCACTGATGTTATAGAATGATTAAAAAAATATATATGGACGAAAACAAAGTAAAGCAGATTGATTTGAAACCATGATGATACTCTAAATGGGACGCTTTGTCTTTAAGAGGTGGGTTCCTCCCCCTCCAGCTGCCTTGCCAGGACTTCAGCCTTTTGCTCTCGTTGTGTTTGAAGACTTTGTGACTCTCGGGCCAAAAGGGGATTGTGCAATCAAACGGCTCTCTCTTTCTCCATCACGTAGGCCTTGGACACAGATGGTTAATGGTTGTTTATCTGCGTTCAACCAATGATGATTTTGCGCTGGGAAAAACATCTTTTTAGACTCTCACTCCATCTTTTACTGCATAACCAGGCCGAACTATCAGAGTGCAGACTTAGTACTTGATTATGGGTTCAGCATTATTAATATTTGAGTTGATTTGAGTTCTTTTAATACATTGCATATACAGTGCTCGACATAATTGAGAACACCCCATTTTGAAAATCAATTTCTCAGTCAATATGAGTAATATATGTTGGTGCATTAGAACAAAACAGATTTATTAAACATATATTTATTAAAATAATATTTTAGTCACCAAAAATATTTAAAAAAATTAAAGATAATACTATTAAATCCAATCAAATAATTGCTAAAAAATTACATTCTACAAAATTTCAACTAAATATTTCAATTTCTTTTGCTTCTCTTTGTATTTAATATTTTTCAATAACATATAAATTTGGGCTACTATTTTTTGAACCATTATTGTGACTTTTTTTGTTAGATTAGCTCCTGATTTTGGTTTAGTACTGACTAAACTAATGTAAGTGCACAAATATAAAACTGTAAAGCAGGGGTCTCAAGCTCAAACATGCCATTTCAGTGAATGACAATTTATAGTAGGGCCGTTTTAACATTAAAGCACAAGAAAATGATGATGTTTACATTTCAGCCATTACCTGTCACCAGTGATAATGCGAATCAGCATGTTTATTGTTTTACACAGCTGCATCTGTGGCTGATTAAATTAGCATTTTGACATTTAAATAGTCATAATAATGTTAATAATAAATATTTTTATTCTGTCCCAACTAATTGGTGCTTCACCAAAAATTTAACAGATAGCGGAAGAGCGGCAGAAACAATTTGGGTAACTATACTGACTTTACTGGCAATTGTTCTAATTAGTATTTTTCTTTTTTGTACAACTACAACAGAGAGGGAAAAAGTAAGTACATATTCTCATTTACTTTAACATGTTCAGTTCAACTAGCAGTAAAATGTACATAGTTTTCATAGAAATCTCAATACGCAATATGAGGAAAATCTATTAAATAAGACCATTTGAATCAAATATTAGCAAAATTAGCATTTTTGTTACACCACCAGCATAAAGTGTAAGCCATGAAAAAGTGTTTGTTCAGTAAAATACAGGTTGAAAATAATCAAACAACCCTTTAATATTTACAAAAGTAGTGTTAGTAAAAATAGAGCACTTATGCACAAATTTCAATATTTAAATCAGCCTTTAGAAATAATATGCATGTGGGTTACTCTCAACCGCACGCTGAAAAAAAAGGAAAGTAAAACTGAAATACAGTATATTACACTGCAGTACTTTAAATGTCCAATAGATATTCTTAAATTCTGCACCTTTACAGTATTTTTAGTTTTTTAAGAGTGCTGAATTTAAAAATTATTAAACATTAAAATGACATAAAACTTAGGAATAAAGTGTGCAAATGTTTGTTAATAAGTCTAAAATTTAGCTAATAAAACTTTTTTTAAATTTTATTTTAGTTAAGGTAAGGATAATAAAAAAGATGTTATTCTTATTAAACTTAGGAATCCATAATAGTACGTTAACAAATCCATTTGTGCCAATATTAGAAATATTACTTTGAGATTAAAATGATCAGAGTTTTATTAACAGATCCACCTAATTTTAGATTTTTGCTTGCTTAACATAAAATAATAGTGTTCTTACCATTGGCTAGGGCATGATCTTATTGTTTGACCAGACATGTACGTGTGCATGTATGCATTAATATATGTGCACCCTCAACTAAACTGATAAACATTAAAAAAACATGAAGGGCTGCACAATTCTGGCTGAAGTGAGAATAACTATTTTTGTTCCCCCAGGGTTCTGTAGATGTAAAATTAAAATTAATACGAGTAGGCTATTAATATGTTATTTAATAAACATGGTAAAACAACAATATTAATATTAGGCCTATTTGTGTAGTGCTAAAAATGCTACATTTTGTACAGACTTGGAATCGTGTAGACTTAAATAGACTTAAATTTGTCCTGGTCGTAAAATGTGACACGATCATGTAAATGATGTGCGCGGTTTTGGTTTCACTTTCACTGCCAAGTGCGCTACTGTCATGGCTGCTGTCACTCAGAGAAAAAAACATACATGCATGTTATTCACAGCTTATGCCAGGTCTGTTCACTAAAGAAGACATAATTCCCGTGCGTGCATCCTCGTGTGATTTCGCAGCCACGAAAACATCATTATATTATGACAGAAATTACATTTTTGGGTGAATTATACCTTATAAATACAGTATGTGACACTTTTAATACCATTTGGAGGTGCTCATGTTGCTGAGCAACTTATATAAAACAATGTGACGACTTGTGAGGCCGCCTTTACACTTCTCCAGAAGTTGAAAATATAATTAGCTGAATCGTAGAGATGCTGGATTAAGATTGTGTGGGGGGTCGAATTGAGATCGCAATCTTTTTCTGATTAATTGTGCAGCTCTAACATGAATTACTGTTTAATAAATAAACATTGTAATCTTTTGCATTGCGATATTTGCTTTCTTTGCTTTTTCTTTTTTATTAATACTTCATATATCGACGATTACATAACGACCTCCTCCATTTCTCTCTTACAGAGCAATACAAACACCACTGGTTCCCAGACCGTCCAAACAAGGGTTCTGGGTATCGCTGCATACGTATCAACCACAAGATGGACCCTCTGGTTGGACAGGCTGGTCAGCGCATCGGGCTGAGCATTCAGCAGCTATACCTGTTGCTTCCCAGCGAGCTCACATTGTGGGTCGACCCATTTGAAGTGTCATACCGCATCGGAGAGGACGGCTCCATCTGCGTGCTCTACGAATCCCATCCCGGCACCAACGGAAACCCCAGCACCACCACTGGAAACAGCATCCCCGCCTCATCTGTCACCCAGGTATCGGCCATGGTGGAAAGTCACATCAGCTGCAAGGAGGAACTACTGGTTTTGGGTCGTACCAGCCCAGCTAAACCCTACATGATGACTGTGTCCAGCTAAACGGGTCACAGAAGTCATTTTTAAGAAATAAAAAAGAGAGAAAGGAGAAGAAGAAGAAAAAAAAAACAGGATGTGTCCTATCGTCCAGGTGATGGAAACCTTGTAGGTTTATTTTTCACTCGTTTTGGTTGTCTGTTCTGTTATTGTGTTGGATCTACCAGAGGCTTGACCCTGGGGCAGCTAATGAAGACCTAAAACACCGCCCGGCCCCCCAGCTCACAGAGACTGACCCACTCCCACGGCAGTGGTCATTGGGGGGGAGGGCGTTTCTGCCATCATCTGCCGATGTTGACTTTGCACTTTCGCTTTCACGGTTTATGTTATTGCATAAACACAAACTCCCTCTAAAATGTTAAGGAATTATGCTCCATTATGTTTCATCATGCCCTTTTTCTCCGTTTGCTGTCGAGCTGAGGCCCAAACACTGGGAGCCTGTGCCAGACCCTAGTGCCGCTCTGAGCCTCATTTTTCTAAAAACCTCACTTTTTTGGACCACAAAGCGGTACTTTTGTCTCTTCTTGGTGTCTGGTAGGGCTTCTTTTGGGCTTCAGGTCGACATGAACCGGTTTCAAGCCGCCTCCATCCTGTACACTGCCTCTGTGGAATATCTGTGTCATACTGTTACCCACGCTAGCCGTCGATGGCACTGTGATGCAAAGGTTCTCATGCTTGTAGCTTTTCTAGGGGCTCCCTCCTGGATGAATGTAATTTCTAACAAAAAAGAGAAGAAAAAAAAAAGAAAAACCCAACAACGACGACACATTTGATTTATTTAAGCCCCTCGTCATGCCAAAATGAAAAATGTAGCAAGGTTTGTTTTTGTTTTTCTTGACTTGGAGCAGACGTGGTCTTTACTTTCTGCCTCCTTTAGAAAGGATGTTGAATGCACTTTGACATTTTAGACTGTGTGGGATGACGTTTTCGATTCGACCCAACTGCATTCCATCGCATACCTCTTTATTCAGTTGTCGTAAATCGTTATCTCTGCTTGCGCTCTTTATGGAGCGACGTGGTTGCAATATTTGTGAAGGTGAGAGAGACATTTCAATCCCAGGTTATTCTCTCTTGCCATTTTTAATGACTGATTCATGTTAGAGATTAGGACTCCATTTAATGGCCAGTATGTGGCTAACAGACCGGCAAGAAACGGCGTCGACAAATGGACCAGTATTCCTATCTCCTCGCAGAATCGCAGAAGCCCCAGTGGTGCTTGCTTGTTACAGATGGTCTCCCGACGCACTTTCCAGCCAGGCGTCACCGGTCTCAGTCTTAACTAGGAGTGCGCGGTCAAAACATATCACCTCCCTCTATTGGCTGGCCGAAGAAGGGGGTAGGACCCTCAGATCAGGGCAGCTACAATCCTCTCCGGCCCCCTTCTCGCAGCCTGGAGGAGAGTATTTATGCCAGCACGCACACACCAAGTGCACTCCAAACCAAACTGAGCCTTACATAAAGAGCCGAGTCGGGATGAGAAGAGAGATACATGGGGTGCTCCTGGTTTCTGGACGATTCTGTTTACATTGGGTGGAAATAAGCGGGTTGCAGGCTTTGCGTGCGTGCGTGTATGTGTGTGCGACATATTGCTCTTGCCTTAGCCGCTAACTGCCGAGACAAGGTGCTGATTATCAGTCCTTTGTGTGTTAATACTTTTGACGTTAGAGGACCATGGGTAACGCCGGGTTATCGATGCACTGCCGTCCCTTTCTTTCTTGCTTTGGTCCAGTCACTTTAATAGAGAGATGGAAAGTCTATTTAAAAAAAAAAACGTATGACTAGAACGCCATCGCCATCCCACCTTTCTGAATGCTTTAAACTCTGAAAGGCGCCCCTCCCCCCACACTTTGCCTGTTGGTTTTAATGTTAAAGCTCTTAAACCACATTCTGGTGATCTCAACCAAATTGGAACAGACAATTCGAGTGCTTTTTTTTATTTTTATTTTAGATCTACTACAAACTACTTTGCCCCCCCACCTCCACCGAAAATAACATCAGCAAACCGTTTCAACTCTCCGCTTCAGTTCGGTAATTGTTTGCACACTAGTTTTAAGTATCGTTGTGTGAGTCTAAACTCAAGTCTACTTGGAGGCAAGAGCACATGAAATGCACTAATAGGTTAAACATTGAAGTTATGTGACTTTGAGACCACCGTGTCTCGATTGGAATGTATTGCCAAGCTCAGGCCACAGACATTCATTGAAACCCTTATGGATGTGCAGGTTAAGATGTGAAAAACAGAAGGGAATGATTCGGTCGGGAATTTTGTCGGTCATTTCAGAAGTGATTCGCGTTATTGCCACTTTCGCATCTGAGGTGGTTCCATATTTGTAGAATGTATTGTTATTGTACAACATATGGTAGATTAAGTACATAACCATACATATGGGAAGTGCCAATAATTGATATTTTGCTGTGTGTAGACGTGTTCCTTTTTGTATTTCATATTTTAACATGAATTCCTCTTTCATAAGTGAAGCCATTCGTGTTAGGAGTGTTGGAGAGGACCAAAGTTGTTTTGGTAAAAAATATATATATTTATCAGTTTCCATGCTCTGTGCTGATACACTTTCCTCGTTTTTTTTCTTTTCTTTTCTTTCTTTTTAAATTAAAACGAAAAAAAAGAAAAAATTCTGAGCAACCCAAGATAAAGCTGTCTGTATCTTGTGATTTTATTCCCCCCCCCCGTCTGTACATCTCTTGTGTTCATTCTTTTCCTCATTCTTGGGTATGTTGTGATGAACTGCTGTAAATTTGTACAGTTCATGTAAATTGATTGTGCGGAAGTTGTACAGATTTCTATATTTTGGAAGAAAAGTTTTTTTCTCTGTAATAAAAGATTTCCTATCTTGGCAATGTTTTCCAGTGGACTTGGTCTTGTTCTTTATCAAAGCAGGGTTATTTAGGAATATCCGTTTTGATATTTCATCCTTTGTTTGTTTTTGGAAGATATTTAATACAACAGGGTTGGGAGAGTTTTATCTAGGGATGCATGATATATCGGCGGGACATTGCAAGCGGCCGATACACTACTTTTAATGTTATCGCTATGTGTCGATGTCAAAATTACGCCGATATCTTCAAGCCGAAAGATTACGTAATTGTACATAAATGCTTGCCTCACACATCCTTGGGTCGAATTTGTTCAGACTTGTCTAGTGCACTATAACAAAGATTTTTACCTAGGGATGTTATCGTTATCGGTGTGATATCAAAATTTGGCTGACATCTTTAAGCCAAAAGATTAAATAATTGTACTGAACTGCCTGCCTCGCTCCATGCGTGAGTAAAATTTGCCCTATCATTATTGGCCGATAAATGCAATTTTTAATGTTATCGTTATCGGTCTGATATCAAAATTAGGCTGATATCTTTAAGCTGAAAGATTGTGTAATTAGACTGAAATGCCTGCCACGCGGATGCGTGAGTCGAATTTGTTTAGACTTGTTCAGACTTGTCCACTGCACTATAATGAAGATTTTTATCTGGGAATGCATCATAAATCGTCTGCCATATCATTATCGGCCGATAAATGCTATTTTTATTGTGATCGATATCGGTTCGATATCAAAATTAGGTTTATATCTTTAAGGCCATAGATTATGTAATTGTACAGAATTGCCTGCCTCGCACCATGTGTGGGTTGAATTAGTTCAGACTTGTCCAGTGCATTATAACAGAGATTTTTATCCAGGGATGCACAATATATCGGCGGCCATATCGTTAGTACACTATAACGAAACTTTCCTCAGATTGTTTATTCCCTTAAAGCCCGTCCTTGCTTTGTGTGGTATTGCTCTGCATTAATAACTTAATTAGAAGTCATATTCCTCATCATTGTAGATATGTTTGATAGAGTATATTTATTTTACTTGTTTGTTAATTAAATCCCATTATGTTATTTAATCTATTATTTTTATGCAGCAGTCAAGTTGCTTGTTAATTTGCTATGCGAAGAAAAGGAAATAATTAATTGTTGGCATGCTGATTTATTTGAAATCGCTAATATAGGTGTGTAAGTAGACTGTTCTAGGATCAGTTAAAATGTTTATCATGTTTTTAAAAATAAATCAGGTGTCTACTTTATAAAAATATAATAAATATTTATATTTATTGGCCAATATAACAGTTATTGGCCTCCAAATCTTAAGTGATATCGGTTATCTATATCGGCAAAAAAATCCATATCAGTGCATCCCTATTTTTATCACAGACACAAGTATCTTTGTAGTCAGATGTTATTTAGTAACAGAGCTCTGATGCCATTGACATGTTTGGACAATGAATTAGTTTGCATGGACGTCAATTGATGGCATGTTTCTAGTACAGCTACACTCTACCAACATTATCTTGCTTAAAGTTAATTACAAATCCCCACCATTACTTATTAATCTAGAAAAGCCTTAAGGGCTGTTCACATCAAGGATGATTACTACAGATATAAAGTTTTATTAATAATTCTGATTTTATGAGAGTGGTAAAATCTACACCACAACTATTCCTACAGCAACAGATACATAATATGGTTGGAAACACTTTCAGAGCATAATGACTTATATAAGACAGTCAGTCCTATGCCACTTAAAACAGCTTGAGCATTAAAAGTAGAAGTTAACTGCTTTGTTTATGATTTAACCAATGTGTTAGTTATTTGGTATGACTGGTATTCGGTACTACGTATGAACAGGCCCTTGACTGCTTACTTGTATAGGTATTTTAAATACACCATCATAGCTAAAAGTAAGGTAATATTACTATTAGCTTCATTAGCATAATGCAAGGCTTGAAATTAGCTTTTTCACTCGGTAGCCGCAGATTCAGTTTAAATTTAGTAAAGGGGAGCTTCTTTGGTAATAATGTTTACAGTGTTAACACGTTTGCGCTGAACACCAGTGGATGCAACGCATCGAAATTCGGGCACCCTCTCCGTTTGCTGTCATCTGTGTCATTATTTGTAACTTTAGGTGGGGTTTGCAAACATGTGTAACATACTTTTCACTGTTCGGCCGTTTGCATTTCCCGCGGTGACAGAAGCTCCCTGTCTTCTGACAGCGGAAAGCTTGAGTGATTGACTGCAAATATGAACCAATATAGCAGCAGGGAAGATTGAATCAGCACGTTAGAAAAATAAAAACAGGTCGCTCTACAACCATTATATGCAGTCGTACAACTGCTCCCAAATATGTTATGAGGTCGCATAAATTAAATTTCGGGGCGCATATGCGACCAAAACGGTCGCAATTTCAAGCCCTGTAATGCTAACATTTTATTAAGATGAATGATAATTTTTTTTCATTTTGCTCTTGAAACTGTCTTTTGTTAATCGTTTTCTTGCATAGCTCAAGATAGTGACCGTATGACTGTTTTTTTGTCTGTAAACAAAGTTATTGTGCATTGATGTGAATGCTAATAGTTAGCATAGTTAGCATTCCTTAATGTTTGGAAGCCCTTGGTCTAGCATGTTAAAAATGTGCTAGTTAGCAATTAGCCTCGGCTTCTAGGTTTATCATCAACAAAAGCAAGTTAATATTGCAAATAGCTTGATTAGCATTTTGTTGATACTTTTGATAATCATTGAAAATTATTGATAGTTATAATATTATTACAAAATGGTTATTCCCATCTCAAATAGCCCTTTAAAGTGTTTCCTTTTAAAGTATTTTTCTCTTTTTTGCATTCTGATGACACAAATTTCAAAATGGCTGTTAGTACAGTGTGTCTTTGTGGT